AAATATATATATATAAATATATAAAATATATTTATTCCGTATATATAACAAGACCCTACATGCCAAGTGTAGTGCAACTGACTCTAATAAGTTTCATTCATGTTATGCCTAACAAACCGTGTCAGCATTAAACTGGTAGGAGATATTGACAGTAAATGATACCAATAAGTACTACATATATCCTGGACCCATTGGAAATTATAAGGATTATTTGCAAATATATATATTGTTGTATACAGAAGGAAACATCTCCGACTCCATAAAGTATATATAAGTATATATTCTTGTTCATCCTCAATTGTCAAAGCAATCTAGCCATTTCAGTCAGATGTCAGACCCTTTAAGCTTCAAATCATTGATAACATGACTTGATTCCAAGAGAATGAAATCCTTCATTTCGTATAATGCATTAAATATTTTTTTGGATACTGCCCCACCCATCTATTACATCACTCAACCCATTGAATAAGTAAAAGTGTATTTTTTTTGCTTTAAGTCGGTTATTGATATAAAAAAGGTCTAGGACATCGCTATATTTCTATAAGAGTCTTTCAGTCTGTCTGTCCCTAATTCGAATGAGATTCGAAAAAAACTATATCAAGTATTGGACGTTGTCGAGCTAGACGCGCCCCTATTTCTAGCCATCGATACAAATAATAAAAGAAGTGACTCAATAAATAGCTGTATGAGTATGAGTGCTCTAGTCGGGAGTGGCCGACTAAACAAAAACTCACGTTCACAGTTACAGTTTTCGCTGCGGTTGTGCTACTTTACTTTGGGCCATAGTGTGGGATATCATTTCTAGAATATCATCGGATATTATTTTCCGATCTTTATGAATTTTTCAAGAGATTAATATATCAAGGATATCTTCTATTCGAGCCATTCTTACCGATATGATAGAAACTTACTTTAAAATTCTTACAAACGAACTACAAAATTATGTTTTTAAGCGTTTTTGAAAATTCAACCTGCAACTATGGTAAATGTTCGGAAAACGGTTGCATGAAAGTTGCTTGTTTACAATACTTCAAAAACAATTTCAGGGTTCATTGTGAAAATTCATCTGTTCTTGGATGATAAGAAAGTGAGGGGATAAGCTCATTCGAAAAGATACTTTCAAAATTAAATTTGAGACGCTAAAATCGCTGAAACACATATTCATTTAATCTTATGGGCTTTTAGAAAAGTTTGACGCCGTCCTTACAACCTTTCACCCGCTCTTCGGGGCGGATTTTGGATATATTTTTTAAACAAAATAGTATATTGAAGAAGAGATTAACTTTTGCGAGTTGACTATTTACACTTATAAAGTCCTCTGCGTCCAAGAATGCGTTCTAGCTCGCACAACGATCCAGTCTCATGAAAGAAGAGTTTGTCTCCAGTAACTTGAGATGTGACCCGCTTAGCTCTAGTCGGGAGAGGATGGCGAGATTGTACTGTCCCAGATATATAGAATACGGCGCAATACGCTTTTTCTGAGGCATCACAAAAGTCGTGCTCACTCTATATTGAAATGTTGGTGTTTTTTAAGTTGAGCAGTTTGTTGAGAAGTGATTTACATCTCAATCTCCATTTCCTCTAAAAGGGCTTGACGCTGTGTTCTCCTTGAAAAAGATCTTTCACATATATTTGTATTGGCTTAACTGAGTTGCAAAGTGTAAACGGTTGTAATAACATTTTTCGTTCTGTTTTAATTTCAATTGTACATCAAATGCCAAACGATGGTAACCCCTTTCTGTACATTTGCTATCCTAGTTTGGGGCACGGCGTCAACGCAACAGCTGCGTCGCATAAGAGTCCAAGCCGTACGTAACAACTGACGCCATCGAACGTGATCTCCATCTAACAAAGGTCGGAGATCAGTTAAACTTCTTCAGCAGCCAATACGCTGACAAGTTACTGCAGCACACAAAGCCAAGGCCTGGCTGACCCCATCCGAGAGAGGCGCCTCCGGCTACACCCAGGCGACCTCCCTTAGAGGCGTATTATCCAAACGTCTACTACCCCATCATTGCAATTTTTAAAATTTTTGTTTTAATTTTCTTTATTTTAATTTTTCTGTTATCAGGAACAACTTATATTAAATTTCTATGAATATTTACTAACTACTTATTCTACTGGTAAGTCTTATATACAAATTTACAGTGGTGACTATATAAATCGATCAGGGAGATCTATTGGGTGAGACCTTCGCAGTCTCTCCCGCGTTCGGACTCCTCCAATTCTACGCCTATTTAAAAGATGTCTAGCCAGACGATTAGGATGGTTTCTCAGTCGCGCTACAAGGTCTTTTTCCGAATCGAAAGTTCTCATATACTAGGGGGCACCAGACAGATTTTGATTTTCGTTAGACGTGACTTTGCAGCAATACCGTATACCTGTATTCCTTAACACCAGGCGGGAGCTATGAGCTGCATTGCAAATTTCATATAAGTAACTACACATTTTTCCCTGAGCTATTCACTTGATAGAGGTCAGAATGCACTGTTTGATTCCAACGCAAAACATATAATGAGACAAAAAAGACTCACCATTAAACTAAAATGGGAAACGGAAATTCTGGATTCCAATTTTTGGTTTATTAGTCGATGGACTTCAAACATATTTATATAATATACTTCTTAAATAAAATTCAATATAGTAGTGGTACATGCAGGAAAATGGGTGGAAAAAGGTTGTCTAAAATACGAAGCAAAAAGCGTTGACCGACAAATGCCAGACAAATAATCAGAAACAGAGCAGCGCATCTTCTATAAAAATTGTTAATTTCAAAGAAACTATTTCACTTTAGCGAGGAATACAATCCCTAAATTTAGGTCAATAGAGATAAATAAGAGAACGTAAGACGATATATTTACAAGCCGCTTCAATGAGCATGACCTGACATGTGCCAACAAAGGCCGGGTGTACAGAGAGCTTATATTTGCATCCAACGTCAACTGAAAGAACTCACACTGAGCAATTCGCTGCGCTGCAACCGTTCTACACGCTCTCTACCAAGCAAACCGTCGAGGAGTTTTTTCAGGCTGGCAAAGCGAAGCGCCAATAACTAAAACAGCAAAACACAGCAACGCGACCGCTGGGCTGATATTTACCTGTGAGCTGTGTTGCAAGTTCTGCGTTACAGCCGCCAATGTTGCCGCCGCGGGCACTTCCTTTATTGGTGTTAAAACTGCTAATTGATGGAACAAACAACGCGTGCTGGCTCTTTGTCACACCACTAATTCAAATTTCAAAAATCCCACGGCGGTGTTGAGCATATTTTTCATAGTAAGCAACAAGTAAAGAGAACGGTTTATATTTCAGGTATTGAACATAAAACGTTCGCGCAGACATACATATGTAGTTCAGAAGCACAATTTACTGTTCTACTCTGCATTAATGTTTAATTGGCTTCATGATAAACATTTTAAAATTGCTAAATTATTGATGATCGCCTGTAATATATAAGCTGTATGGGTTTGGAGATGTTTCCTTCTGCTTGTTACATACAAAATAATTATACCACTCTATGGGCTTAGGGACAAAATTATCCAGTATAAACAATTGTTAAGCACTTATTTTGTATTCCTCATACATTTATGTATTTTTATTCTATTAGAAATTGAAACGCAGTTGACAGCTGACGTCGAAACTCATTGATAAGAGGTTTCTCCTTAAAGTATTAAAATAAAGTTGAATATAATAAAAATAAAAAGCATAATGAATACACATATATGATGTACATTCATACCATTAATTATAAAAATAATGAGTTGTACAAAATACAAATTTTTTCTACAAATTTAGCAATAAACCTTATTTTACCACTAGCATGTTAACAAAAACGTTGGCTTTGTATCAAAGTTAAAATTCTCGACCTAAACGAGTAGCATAATAGAGGTCACGTAGTGTGTACAAACTATCTGAAGTAAATCTTCCAATTACAGTCAAATATTTTGACTCTGTGATATTAAAACAAAGAGAGGAACACACCGGAACAGATAGAAGGTTTTGTTGCCTTGAGATCGAGAGCGACGACTTTGTTTTTTCTTGCCGCCGAGAAGGGCGCTGTGTAAAGGTGAAATCACACTTCACGCCGGATTTGCATTTGCTTGCGATCCAAAAAACATGCGAGGCAACGTCTTGAGCATGAGAACCGTGATTTATGGCATGCAATCAATCCCAGACCCGTCAAGTTGGGCATGTACTCCAAAACAGATTTTAGTTGCAAGTTGAATAGTAAGTAAGGGATTTATAAAACTGCGACCGTATTAATAATTGTTGCAAAGACCAGAGGAAAACAGGCGCACTAGCATTTGCCATATGATTTCGCGACTTTGGCGTGCTTCATCGGGGGCTGATCCGAAATGGAATTTAAGATGGCCGCAGGAAGCACTCCACCACTGCGAAATGACTTTTGTTTGTCGGGTTGGAGGCGGCACCGGCTGTCTTGATACTTATGGCGAGAAAATGGAAAATTCGATGTCGCCATAAACATTTATTGCTACTTTGGGAAAACTCGATTACAGCCGGCCGCCGGCCGCCGGCTGCCGGACTCAGTCCCCCGTGCCAATGCGCAGCCGCCATTTTACGAGCCGCGCCTGGGCACTTATGGCATCATCAGAACAGGGGCAGCACCACATAGCACATGGCACGCATGGCCTGAATATTGGACCCATGCAGGCAGTCTACCGCTCATCAGGCCCCGTTGAGCTGAAACGGATTTTGTGCTTAGTCAGGATGCGAGTATGATACACATACTAGTACTCGCATCGACTGCAGTTTTATTGGTCCTGGCACTCGGGAAAATGTATACAATTTTCATTTTTATAACATTTACGCTTCAGCGCATGTCTTCAGCCTCCGCGTACGGCAATAAAATGAGGAAATGTTCGCAATCATAAAAGTTTACGAGCACAAGCACCCAAATTGGGTTTGCACATAACAAAGTTTTAAGCGAATATTTTGGCGTCAAAAAAAAAGCATTTCATTCGCCCTGAAATCCCTGAGTATAATAGGGATACTTGTCAAAACATTCTATACAACACAAATGTGAATCATTCCAAAAATGAACAAAAACTCTAGTCTTATATTATTTACCATCTTTTGGGTCTTATTCGGCGCAATTGGCTGGATGGTGGCTGCTTTCTTTAAGGAGAGGACCCTTATACGTTGTTGCATCTTACTAACCGCCGCCTGTTGCTGGCTCGTCTGGCTGGTTACCTTCCTAATGCAGATGAATCCCCTGGTTGGGCCACGCGTTGGTCAATTGAATATTTTGGGAATGATATCATACTGGGAGACCTCTTACATGCACAATGAACCGGACCCATAGCCAAGCGCACTTTCCAGCAATGTTTTCCTTCATGCGAATAGCCGGCTTAATTGCCTTTCAATTAAGTTATAATGCAGATAATTTAAGTAAATTATATTAGCGCCTCGTTATGTTAATATCAACAATAACATTGCTGAACTTGAGCATTGGCCTATATTGTCACCTGTTGAGCCTATTGTTGTTGTAATGTTATCAGTAGAGTTCCAAAAAACTCTAATTTCCAAAGATATAATATAATACATTTTCCTAAAACACAAGCAATTTTTCGGTTAGACATTCTAGTCCTTTGCCAAAGGTCGACGCCTTTAGGTGGACCTCTAGATTTCTGCTGGCATTTAGCATGTCGCTACAGAAAAAAGAAAATACCAAGAGTGTCAAGACACCTCCTAGAGGATGTCTCATTTTATACCTTTGAAGACGGAAGTAGTCCCGTCAACGATACGTGGAGTTGGCGTTCTCAAAAATGACAAAAAATAAATTCCATATAACACCGTAATGTGGAAGAGCACTTAAGTTAGTATGCTAGGGTGTGAGGGGTAAGGAGCACAACGGCACGAGAAAAGGAGGGAAAAGGAGGAAGAGCCTGGCTGAAGCATCAAGTTTGGTGACGCTAGCTCTTATTCACCCAATTTTCTCACAAAACAGGATTTCAATATTGATTTTTATCGATTACTTGAAAACGTGGCAAGTTATTGAATATCGGAAACGAGTTCTGCGCGGGCACTAGGATGACCTACAGCTAAAATTTCAAGTCCTTGCGTTCACACATACGGACAGACGGACGGATAGACAAACGTACTTGGCTAGATCGACTCGACTGTGATGCTAATCAAGATTGTAAGTATATACTTTATGGGGTCGGAGATGCTTCCTTCTGCCTGTTACATACATTTGCACAAATACATTATACCCTTTCTACCCATCTTCGATTGGTTCAGGATAAAAAAATAGAGCTATATTCCACTCTTTGTGTTTTAGAATAGTCGAATATTATGATTGAGTTCAACGCAAAAAAATATAGGTCATTACTTTTCGATTCGATACAATAGCTCAGTTGGACCATTTGTGTTTCGTGTCAGAGTGTCGCATACAAAAGTATATTTCTGTAGCTCGAGCCTTGCTTCAGGGTATCTTTCAGTAGGGTATTCTCTTGTTTAATTTTATGTTATAAGCTGCTGTACATAAGGTTGCGCCACCTGTGGCTTATTGTATGAACCTTATTAGCCAGAACTCAAACCAACTGCCTGTTCAGCCTGCCAAGAGCTAATGGCTCTAAAACTCTGGTGAGAATCAAAATGCAGAGAATGCTGAGTTTGAAATTATGATTTAGCTATATAAATATATATTCTATATATAAATAGCTACTTCAAAGGCGTAAAAGACATTAATTTTAAATTCTAGTGGTTGTTCCTTTTTGATTCTCATATATAAATAAGCATAAGCTCTCATAAGCCTGGTCACCATGGCATGAAAACGGTTGCTTAACCCACCCCCGTTTGAGCTCATTTTATACCTTAATGGGTAAGCAAGGTATAATGTATTTGTGCAAATGCATGTAACAGGCAGAAGGAAGCATCTCCCGTCCCATATAGATATAATCCATAACTCCCTGCTTAAGTTATTGATAATGCTAAACCCATACCCATAATATTATATCGATTGAGGAGTATGGGGTATTTTATAGTTGAGCAGACTCCACCGCAGCTTTCTCATAATTCAAAACAAGATAAGTGTTCAGTAAATTTCTCTATTTTATTAAAATAACAACAAATAATAACATTTTTGTGAAACTCTTAATTAATCTACATCTCTGATTTAAAATCCCGGGTCAAAATGAGTCCAGATAATCCAAGATGCGTTAAACAATTAAATGACGCCCAACATTGATTAATATCTATAAAGGTAATATGAGATATATATGTTAACAAACTTTTCTTATTTTACTTAGATAATATAATATAATTATTTTTTTCAGTTTGAATTTGCTTCATAGCAATTAAAAACCTTAATTTTTGGCAGCTTAGTTTTTTGTGTTGTATAAGAAATGAAATATATAAGCAAATACATATGCATTTGCTATTTTAATTTTTTAAATGTTAACGTCTTTTAAGACTTATTTACCTGTAATAGTTGGCTTTGAAAGGCCCAGCCTTACTTAAGCCCAGGAATTTCGCCTGTGCGTCGGTCAACTCGGTCAAATGAGCATCAAACGTCGATAGATGCAAGCTAGCTACATATTCATCTGTGAATTTGCATTGGTAATGAGTTAACAAATTTTATCAAGTCCAAAACAAACAATTGACTTGCCCATTTTCTTTGGCAGTAAATACACATCCGACTTGTAGCGCCCCGGTGCTGAGTAGAGTTCAATTAGAGCTAGTGCTTGCGTGGAAGAGGCCACGGATACGACAAAGGATGAGATGGTGGAACACGACAGATTGACCAAACGTCCTTCAGCTAGGAGAATGATCATCTTGCCGTCTGGCCAAGTAATATGTTCCACCTGCGAGCGCACTCGCTCCCAAGTTAACTCCGGTGTATGTAAGCTGCTTACATCTATTTCAGAACAGGAATGGCCCATGTTGCAAACGATGCATCCGTTCTTCATGCGATTCATATGATCACGTGTGACGACATGCTTATTGCCGGTGGCGGTTACCACCACATCTACGTTGCGTATGACTTCTCCCAAGCGGACTACACGAAAGCCGCTCATGGCCGCTTGAAGTGCACAGATTGGATCTATCTCTGTTATGTACACGATACAGCCCTGCCCTCGGAGGGCTTCAGCGCAACCTTTTCCGACATCGCCGTAGCCACACACCACAACCTGCTTTCCTCCAAACATGATGTCTGTCGTGCGCTTCAGACTAGTTCAAAAATAATTTATTAGCAATGAAGGCAGATTGCTGGTTTTAGCAGTTATATGTTTACCTGTCCAGTATTGAGTCCCGACATGTATAATATGTGTCAAACTTGTTCTTTGTCACCGAGTCGTTGACATTGATTGCCGGCACGGTGAGCTTGCCTGCTTTTGACATCTGATGTGGAAAGGATATCAGATTAGCTAGCTTGCAGGGGATGTGTACTTGCGCAGTCGAATATGCACCTGGTATAGCCTGTGCACTCCTGTCAAACTCTCCTCGACAATGCCCTTGATCGATTTGAAGTAGTCTGGATACTTCTTTAGCATCAAATGGGTAGCATCCCCTCCATCATCCAGTATCATGTTAGGTTGCCAGCCCTCGTTGTGTATGCACCTATCCAGGCACCACCAAAAATCCTCTTCGGTCTCTCCGCGCCACGCAAAGATCGGTACTCCAACCTCCGCCAATGCCGCCGCCACTGCATTTTGTGTCGAAAATATATTACAGGCCGCCCACCGAACGGATGCACCCAGTTGAATCAGAGTTTCAATGAGAACTGCTGTTTGCGCATTGATGTGAGTGCAACCCACTATTTTCGCATTTTTCAGCGGTTTGTCTGCAGCGGCTCGTTTGCGCAAGGTCATGATTCCCGGCATCTCCTGCTCGGCGATTTCAATCTCCCGGCGTCCGAATGCGGCCTTACCAATATTCTTAACGCAAAAGTCAGAGCTGCCATGGGAGTTGTTCTGCTTTACGTCCTTTGGCGATATCTCGTCCTCATCTGAAGTTTCTGTGAAACATGCTGTGTGGTAATAGTTGGAAAAATAATCATCAATAATCAGGTCACTTCTTTAATTAATTTTGATTCTAACTTACCTGAACTAAATGAACAGGTGGAAACGTCGGAGAATCGACGAGCTACGATACTTGATTTCTTCACTGCAGTCTAGAGTAAAAAAAGTTGAAATCTACAGTTTGTTATATTTATCCAATTAATAGAAGAATTTCAACAAACAAAGCTTAAAATATTTATAGTTTTCAACTAGTTTAATTGGACTCTGTGTCCAATTCGAGCTCCACTGAGAACTCAAATACAGTTCGCAGCTGGTATTTGGCATCGGTTAGAGTACCGACGATAAATCCCCGAGCCAATTGAGTCTGTATAAGCGTAAAGCAGGTCGAAAATTGCGCCTTCATAGATCACATGCCAATATCTAAGAAAGCGGGCACATTAATTGATTCCATAAATGTGTATTTTATGTATTTGTATCCGTATCCCAACCCATCTGCTAACTGTTGTGTAAATTTCCATAGCCGTATTCATAAAACATTTAACATATATACATATAAATACACATATATATACTATTTAAATATACATGTATATGCGAATGTAAATTGCAAGAGCTGTTGCTTTATATCGACTCGCAGCACTTGTAAATACTTTTAATACTCTGTTCGTTAGTCGAATATGAATATATTGGTTTTATACAATGCACGTTTTGCTGTATACTTATTCTCGTGTATACCCCTTTCAACTGTTGAAATATTTGTGGCGTTGTTTATTAGGGGGCCGGCTGACAGAGCAAATTGGGTTGAATGTATTCGACATTTGAACACCGTGTACAGAGTATTGCCCAGTCGATTACCTATCGCTATTGCAACGTTTCTCACCTATTTCATTCTGGATTTTTTATTGATTTTTTACTGAAAAGCCTCTCGTGCCAAATGTTTTATAGCCAAACTGCTAAGATTGGCGTTTGTTTTCATACATTATTTAGTAGTACGCGCAGCAACTTGTAAAATTTGTTGTTCTATATACCAAATGCAGATATACATATGCGCATATATATATATAAGTGTGCCAACCAATTACGAACCCCTGAAACTGCAGATGGATGAATGAATATGAATATTTTTTACCTTATCGGCCAAACTCAGGTCGGCAAATGTTGTCTCGGGCATTTTACTCATCTTGAAGTCAGTTTTTTTTTATCTGAAAATTATTGCGTCAATATTATTTACATCGTTGGCTGAGTCGACCTTTGGGAACTTACATTTGACAATGTCAAAACTGGTTCTATGCTGAATATGTTTCAAGTTTGTCAACAATCGTATTCGTTGTTTGTTTTTTGCTTGTTTTCAGTCTGCCTTTTTATGCACACACGAGACACACGAGACCGGCTCTTCGGATCGGGGAGTACCAGCGTCGATACCAGTGGAGATCAAACCATTTACTAGATCTGCCTTTGCCAAACTAAAGCTCAACATTACCACCGCGCCTCGAATGTGATCGCAGCGGAATCGGACTCAATGCACTTTGTTCAATCTCCGTCTCAGTCTCCCTCTTCGCATTCGTCTGCGTCGTTGTCTGCGTCACTATTACTGGGTCGA